ACATGTTAGGATGCATGTCCATGACAATATGTTTCACAATCTGGTCAAGGTTGGCCAATTGACAGCCATCTGACTTTTTGGCCTTACTACTATATTTCCACAATTTATGTACCATTTTCATTTGTATTTGGCACATACATCATACATATCAGTGTGTTTAATAATCAGATCAAAGATGGCCAAATAACAGCTGTTATTATTTTTGGCCATAATACTACTACACGGAACACGTGTTTTGATGTACCGGGTAAATAAACAATCTGTTGTATACGCCACTTGGAAGTCAAGTTTCAAGGACACACTCCCTACAATTTTAATATGACGAGCACAAAGAGAACTTTCAAAAATTTAAGGGGGACTGTGTCATTTTCAATGATTTGTTTACTTGTAGTCCTGAGTCTATTATTTTGAATTTATTCAGTCTGTATTTATTACATGTTATGGGTCAACTTTTTAGCTCCGCTGTCGACTTTGTCAAGTGAAGCTTATCATATGAGTGATTGTCCGTCGTCGTCCGTCGTCGTCGTCCGTGTCAATGTTTTACTTTTTCGACTTCTTCTTGAAAACTACAAGCCTGAATGCTTTGATACTTGGTGTATATGTACCTTGGGTAGACCTCTTTTAGGTTTGTTCATTTCAAGTGCAATTGCTTTGATATTACATATATAGGTACTACATGTGGACCTCTCTCAAATTTGTTCATTTTGTAATGATATCTTTAATTCTCTAATTTTGGTGAATATTTTTGTCATTTTTGGTAAAAAGTGATATTTTCGACTTCTTGTTAAAAACCAATAGTTCAATTGCTTTGATATTACATATATAGATACTACATGTAGACCTTTCTCAGATTTGCTCATTTTGTAATGATATCTTTAATTCTCTAATTTTGGTGAATATTTTTGTCATTTTTGGTAAAAAGTGATATTTTCGACTTCTTGTTAAAAACCAATAGTTCAATTGCTTTGATATTACATATATAGATACTACATGTAGACCTTTCTCAGATTTGCTCATTTTGTGATGATATCTTCAGTTCTCTAATTTTGGTGAATATTTTTGGTAAAAAGTGATATTTTCGACTTCTTGTTAAAAACTGTAAGTCCGATTGCTTTGATACTATTCATATTGTTCATTTTCTAATGATGTCTTCAGTTCTTTAATTGAAATGTGCATTGCTAACAGCGGAGCTATCTCAGCCGATAGGCTGCTTGTTTTTATCAGATGTCTATTTCTAATGATTTTCTATTGTATTTATACTATCCACACAGTATAATCAAACACCACTTCATCTGGCTGCAAAGAGTGGACACACTGACACAGTGAAACTACTTATAGAAATTGCAATAAAGAAGCCCAGTGTGGGTTTGTAAGTTATTAGTTGTAGTCCTAAGTTAATTATTTTGAATTTGTTCAATCTGTAACTATTTCATATTATGGGTCAACTTTTTTTTATCAGTTGTCTATTCCAAATGAGTCTAATAATTCCTTTGTTTTCATTATTCGGTTATAGTATTTAATCATTTGGGTTTTGATAACATCTATTGGAAATTGATTCAATTCTCCATATATTCTCTTAGTGTTTTTCTTCACACCTAGGATGAATCATAAAGTGTATTCGAACAGTCAGATTTGTAAGAAATCTTGTTTCTTTAAATATAACTGCTGTATATAGTATTAGTCGTCAAAAAATCGTTTTACCCTTTCATTTTTAAAGATCTCATCTCTTTCTTCAATAGGGTAGTGTGTGTGCATATGCTATGCCACAAGGACAAGTCAAAATGAACCTTAGAAGGAGACTTGTGCAGTGCTTTGAAATGTTTTTATAATGTAAAGCATGGTGTAAATATTACTTTTAGGGCATGTTGAATATAAATAAAAGATCGTAATAAAGTTGCCATTCAATTTCTTTCATTCGATTGTATAAATTGGTAAATGGCACAATAATCTGGACAAAATGTATGTTCTAATCAGAAAACAGTGGCTGGTGGATCGAGTGACTGTCATACTGCGCCTAAATGAGTGGATTCAGATTAACGACATACCCTTGTAAAATTAGTTTGATCGAACCAATTCTAATCTCGCAACAATCTCCCGCAAACCAATCAATAACTTAGCTGGCAATGTACAAGTTTTATTCACTATGCTATATTAAAAGTAACATTGTTATTGCAATGTATTGTCATTTATATGAATCTCAAATGACATGTAAATAATTGATACAAATTGACCAAATATGGTAGTAATCAAAAAAATGTTTGCTAATACATTTTTGGACCAAAATTTCATAAATATATAAATGGAAATATTTTAAATATAAGTTTCATATTTTGTAAGTAATTCAAGTTATGTTGAATCAATTAAACATTTATACTTGTATGAACAAATACAATATTGCATTAATCCAAAGATAATAAATATTACCCAGGTCATCGATATTGGATTGCTTGCCTTTGTAAACCGCCGCTCAAAAGACCCACGGACCAACAATCAACAATATATATCACTATTATTTTAATCTTATTTCCCATACCTGCGCTCTTGTTTATTAGTTTCAGTTTCTCAATACCTCTATGGCCTTAACTAGCAATATGTTACATATTCTGATGAATATAATGTATGTGGAGTGTAAAAAAGACTATCGCACAAACTAAACGTC